AGAACTGGGTGCACTGTTGAGTCAGACAAGCTGCTCTAGATGCTGATCCCCAGATATATCATCTATAAAATAAAATGCCACCCTTAATTTTAGCCATTACATGGAGCAGAACATATTTTTTAGCCAGTGTAATAGTCTTTATTATGCATAAATAAAATTACTCTAAATTACCCCTTTCCTTACTATTCCTAAGGAAGAAATGATTCTTCTCCTTACTAAATAGAGATATTCCAGACACTCTCTGGATCCCATCCACTACTCTCTGGTTGTATTTTCAGTCTCTGTCTCCTCACTGGTACTTACCCTACTAATTAAACCTTAAAAGCAAACAGAAAATAAACAGATAAATACACATAGATGTGCATGCACACATATTTAGAAAAAGCTACCCTTAACCTTCCTGTGCAATAAACCTTTTATTATTTTTCTTTCTAATCATGATGGACAAACTAAATGAAGTGGTAGCCTTCAACCAGGCTTCACTTTCTTATGATCTCCTTAATTGTTGATCTTTTCTCAAAATGGGAAAGTCTCCACAGTCCAGAATTATTTTCTCAGTAGTCCCCAGAGACCAGTGACTTACTAACTCCATTTGCTCAGCATCCATCCATCTTAAACCATTTATATTTTTACTATCTAGTTTGCTTTATAAATCCTTACTCCTATTTATTTCATTACGCTATACTGTATTTGCTCTCCTTTTCTTCTACCTATTATCTAAAAAGAAAAGTTTAAGTTGACATTTCTCCCAAATCCCCACTATTTCTACTTTCAGCTTTATGGACCTGAAACAGCACTGATCCCTCCTCAGGAACCAAGAGAAGCAGTAATACCCACCACCAGGTATATCTGTTTAGAAAGTAAATATATACCTATCGAACTCCTTTTTTCTTCTACCAAACCACATGTTTTATAGTTCCCTACTGTCTAGACACACCGTAGGAGATTTTTATTTTTTCCCCTTTTTTTTCTACATTCATATCTATTCAGTAGCCAAGTTCCATAAATTCTAACTTTACAAGTATTTTTCTTATCAATTCTTTCTTTCCCATTGATTATCACTGAGACCAAAAATTCAACCTCTTCAATGGGACTGATAAAATAATTATTTTCATGAAAGTAAATTGAAAAGAAAAGAAAAAATTTCAATTTGACAAGGATGAAATGTCATCAAGATGGATCAGATGAATGTCTATCAACTGGCCTGATATCAGCCATTCCTTGCTTAAAATCATCATGGTCTATGGCCAACAGCCTATAGTAATTTTTGTCCAATGAATAAACTTAGATGCATCTTTCTGGTAAGACTGCCAAATAAATACAAATGTTAAGTTAATTAACAATAAGGAATACCACTGCCAAAAGCACTGGATACTCAAATGTAAATGAAATGAGTGGGGTGGGGGGGATAGTGAAGTGCCAAAATACAGAGTGAACCCTCAATGAATAAAAGGAAAACACTTATTTGAAGTCATCTACAAGTTACGTTAGAACTGGAATGAATATATTAACATACAGGAAGAGAAAACCTAAGATAGCAAGAGTGCTAATAGCCTTGGGAGCTCTATTAGTCAGGGTATTGGCTAAGTTGCTGAAGAGACTCCAAAAATACAAGATAGATTTTTTTTTAATTAGTATTCATTTTCTATGAAAGTCCAGAGGTAGGTAATTCATCCTTAACATATGATTTCCATCTTTGTCCCGATTTCCACTGGCTTGAAGAGAACTAAGAAAAGGAGAAAGGTGTTTGAGTGGCTAAGTCTATTTCTAGAGACAAATTAGGAAGGAATTCCATTATCACCGTGAACTCAGGCATGTGGGTCACAAAAGAGCTGATCTTTGATCTCAACTCTTGACTTCTCTATCTCATTTGTTTCAGAATTCATAGTTATTAGTCTCTTTCAACACTATAATCTATATAACACTTTATTTAAGTATATTTTTTAAATTAGACCATTTCATGTTTTACATTTACTTCTGAGCTTGTTGGATACTAAAGTCTTAATTATTTTTTTCACTTTTTACCAACTAATATGGTACACAACAGTTTGTGAATATCAACTATTTGTAGTCAAAATCACCACTTATTATAAAATGAAGTTTTAGTAATATTACTCTCTCCTTTTTAAATGGAGCGTTATTGTAAGTTTTCTTTTTAATTAAGGGTTTGATAATCCTTGCATAAAACATTTCTTAAACTATTCAACATTTTCCCATTACACTCTTAATTCACCTCCCAAATTTGTTCTCTTAATATGAATTCAATATATTTAAGCTTTCTAATTTCCGTTGATGCTTAAGGGCAAAATTTCAAACATGTTCTGTTACTAGATAAATCTTGACTATATCTTCAGTTAATATATATACAGATGACCTGATACAAATACTTAGTCAAACAATACACTTAATAAAATATATTAGATATGTTAAATTGAGTAACTTGTTTGAGTGATTATATATGTTCAAGTGATAGTATATATTTAATTTAGGTACTTGAATTTAGAAAATACAAAAGCTCTTACTATCCAAAACTCAAAGACAAATACCTTGATTAAAAAAAGGGCAAAGGTTCTGAATAGGCTTTTCTTTGGAGAAGATATACAAATGTCCAATAAACAGATGAAATAATGTTCAACGTGATTAGCCATCAATGAAATGCAAATCAAAACCACATTGAGACACCATTTTGCATCCACTAGGATGGTATTAATAAAAAACGTGGACAATAACAAGTGTTGCTGAGACTGTGAAAAAAACTGGACCTCTGCTACATTGCTGGTGGGAATACAAAATGTTAAAGTCTTCTAGGAAAACATTCTGGCAGTTTCTAAACAGTTACTCAGCAGTATAGCCAAAAGAAATGAAAGTATATGTCCACATAAAAATCTTAACATGCATGTTAAAAGTATTTTTATTTGCAATGCTGGAAACAATCCAAATACCCATCAGCTAATGAATGAAAAACATAAATATGATATATCCATACAATGAAATATTATTCAGTCATACAAAGGAATGAAGTACTGATGCTTACTATAATACAGATGAACCTTAAAAACATTATGTCAAGTGAAAGAAGCAAGTCCAAAAACAAAAAACAAAAAACAAAGAGCGTATTGTATGATTCCATTTATATGCAATATGCAATGTCCACAATACAAAAACCCATAGTGACAGGGTAGACTGGTGATTGTATGGAAATGAAAGGGTTGGGGGAAAATATGAGTGACTACTAAAAGATAGAACATTTCTTTATGGAGTGGTGAAAAGATTCAGTAGTTAGATAGTGGTGATGTTTACACAAATCTGTGAATACACTAAGACATTAAATCATACACTTTACATGGCTGAATTGTATGATATGTGAATTACGTCTCAATAAAGTTGCTATGAAGAAAATTATTCTTGTGGACTACAGCATTTATTGTGACAATTAGTTGTGAAGTAATTTTGCTGGTCAATCTTATTCGTGGAAAATCCTTAGTTATGTGGTAACAAGGTCTTCAACATTATTTTCTTTTTTAATAAGGCAAAATTCTTTAAAGTATATTGATAAAAATCCTATTTTAGGGGTCACTAAAACTTTTTTGGCTTAAATCAAGAGCAATTTGTTCACGAGGGCAACAGTTTATGTACCAGTAAGTAGGATTTACTACAACTTTAATAGTGTAATTTAGCAGTCTATGAGTAATGATGTATGTTAGTGTTGATGGGCACATTTTATCCTTTCTATAACAATAAGTGAGACTGGATATTCAGTCTAAAGTTGTATGATTCTATGACCAAAAGGTGTATGGCAAAATAATCAGCCCATGTGATGAGTACTGTGAATGTTCCATTAAGCGGTGTTAAAATTGTTTTCAGTATTTTATTTAATTTCATCAAAATGTTGCATACTTTCTTCAAAGAAAAACAATGCATTCATGATCCTCTTGCATGTTTTACATTGCACAAATTAAAGGCTTATAAATGCAGGGAGTAGAAATATTTTCATTTAGAGCTTTAAGAAAATTACTCCTGGGAAAATCTCACTATTTCAATAGAGCAGGGATATATTAGAGGTAAGACAGTAAAGTCTACTTTAGTGCAGGCCATTTGCTATTTTCCAGTTAGCAACTTACCCCACTTGGTATTAAATCCCAAAAAATAATTTTCCTTTTCTTGGTTTATTTGACTTGGCACTTCACTTAAATAACTATCCATTAACTTACTAAATTTAAATAATCATAACCACAAGCACCACAGTAAAATTCCCCTATAAAATCAACATTTTGTATATAATACCAAAAAAAAAAAAAAATTGGAAAGGGTATGAAATGCAACGCAATATTGTCTCTTCAAATAAGCATAGGGACTGTGCTCACTGATTATATTTTCCTTGATCATCCAAGTCAAATAGAAACTCTATCATAGAACAAAATGATCTGATGATATAACCTTCCATCATCTACCTCAAAATACATATAAAAAGTGATTTCTTTTATACTACATTTGCTAATCTTATCAAGTGCTTTGTTATTCTATAAAATTGTAAAGTTTAATTTTGAGGTCAATCATGTACATATAGCTTTGAAAAAAAACTTACCTTAGGAATAGAAAAGAAAATACCTTTAAAATCTTATACTAACGATTGTCATCATCTCATTTTTTAAAGTTTTATTTCCTAAGTATCTCAAAAATAGAAGCAGTGCCCTATCTTAGACTTAACAAATGATGTGGATACTTAGAATTTAGGATGAAACAAATTATCTCAAGATTAGTTAGAAAAAAAAACAAAACCCAGCAAATCACTGTCAATTTTCTGTGTCTTGGTCTTTCCCTTCTTTCCATCTATCTATCCATCCGTCTGTTTGTCAGATGAAGATAACTCACAAAAAATACAAGTGTAATACATATCTGGCTGTATACCTTGGCTTATCTTACCTCTAAATCACATAACTACACTTATATTATTTTTTTATCATTTAAAATTCATTATCTTAAAGAAAAAATATACTTACTGCCCTCTAGAGGTATGAACCAGAAGTGTAATAAGTGTAGAAGTTGCTGGGCATATACAGTTTAAAGCTAACATGGCGTATTTAAACTCTTCTTCACAAACAACATGATCTGTTTGAAATAAAATAGGTAAATTAGAATAATTTACCTTGGGATAGTAGTATTTTTAACTATTATTAAAAATAAAACAATAAATAAAACCACAAAAGTTTCAACACAAACACACTTGTCTTAGAGGTGTTTTTACATGTGCAGTTTTCCCCAGGAAAAATGTTTCACACGAGAGAGTACTAGATTATGAGCTAAGTGATGGAGAGGGAAGGGGATGCTAGCCCCAGTTCTTTTATTAGTGAAATAGGCAGATTTTGGCAAAATGTTTACTATGCCTCTTGTGTACAAACAGATGAGAGCTAGATATATTTGAGGTACGGTCTCGAAAATAAATCAGGGACTATATAAAGCCTCCTTTAATTCTGATAAAAATTCTATGGTATGAAATGCAGGAGTATTGACTTAAAGCAATATCAATTTATCAAATTCATAGTCACACAGCACATAGAATTAGAATTACTAAATGACATGGTAGATAACATTTACATAACATAGTAATAGATTTTGTACAATCAAAACAACTATAATATCAAGCAATAAAGATTAATACTAAAATACATTTAAATTTAAACTGTTATTTCACCTCAAGACCTATGGTCATAAACTCAAAAGATGATAGGGTCCAATCAGGAGAGATAAAAAAGTAACAATAGAAGTTCAGTAACATAAAAAGAATACAGTGTTAAAGATGGTGGCACATGAGAGGGTGCAGGCCACATTAAAGGGGGGGGGGAGGTGGTACTTAGCCCACGTCCCTTACTTTCATAGAGCGATGTGGGCTCAGATGCCCGATCTGCAGTTTTCCACAGAAGTCATATTTGAGAGAAGTAATTAAGGTATTGTTTACTTTGGGGAAAAAAACCTTCCCTTCCCAAACAAACAATTATAGCTGGTATTAGAAATAAAGACAATGTGTAAAGTTCTAAAAAAATAAATATTCTTAGAAAATAGTTTTAGCTAAATTAAGAAATAGAAGGTTGAATTTGTAGATGAGTCAGATATCTATACAATGGACACATATACAACAGCATTTATGAAGAAACATAAAAAAATTACTTGAGAAATGAGGCTGCAAATGCCTTGGACAGACAAATTATAAGCTTACTCCTGATTTCATGAGTTAGCATATTAAAGAGCCCATTATTTTTTCTTTTTCTTTCACTTCCTTATTTATTTACTTTTTCTTTTACCTTTTATGGAAGAAATCACTACAGTTACATCTCAGGATTTACTCAAAATAAAAAAATATCAGAGATCTGCTAACAATGTTTCTGCTTCTCTCTTTTTTCTTTATTGTCTTTACAGTGTCTGTTAGCCCATCAGCAAAGCACACATTACTGGAGGTAACTTTGTACATAAATACAAAGTATGTTTGGGACTGTTTTAGTATACATAGACCTTGAACAAAACAGGTTTGAATTGCACAGGTCCACTTATACAGATTTTTTTCCAGTAAATATAGTACAATATATATATATATAGTACAATATATATACATAGGGCAGGGCCAGGGAGGTGGGGGAGAGGTATAAGGGGTTGGTGCAACAACCCCCATGTTGTTTAAGGAGCAAAACTGTAAACTAAATTATCTAGGAACACTATTGTGTAAATAAAGAGAAATATATTTTATTCTGTTTGGCATTGTATGTCAGTCATTTATACAAATTTAGGATGTTTGAATACTAATATTACCAATGTCAGAAGCTGGCACATACTTAATGATGCAAGTATCTCTCTTTTCCAGTGTGTTTTCTTGAGTATTCATACTTGAGCATTTACATATTGAAATACATTATTATTCCCCTCTGTTTCTCCTTCAAATTATGATTAATAAATGCATTAATTGTTTTAAATGTATTTATATAGATAGTTATATTTACTCTGAATTTCATTCCAGGGTAGTAGAGGAAGTGTTACAAAATATTTACTATACAAAGGAGGCATTGGATCAGGTTGGTTGAAAAACCATTGTCTTAGATAAATGAGTTAATATATAATTATCATGGGATTCCTTGTTAGATAAAAAGGAAAAAAATCAGTGTTCTTTTCATAAAACAGAAATTGATTTAGTCAATATGGCTGATCTACACAGGTAAATATGATAGAATGTTCAACTAGGTATATTCTTTTGCATAAATTACAGAAAACTTAAACTCACTCTGTAAAACACGGGTGAATGTATCTTTAGACCTCTCCTCTGAAGTTCAAATCTATGGCTCCTTCTGCGACATTTTGAAAATACTAATCACCATCCCCTAACCTGAACTGAAAAACTGATTCTTTCCTGCTACTTCGCCCCTCATTTACCAATGTCATATGACAGCCAAGGTTTATTGATCATTAAATTACTAAAGCCGGCTCTATCTTTCCCATTTTCCCTATCTCCATTCCATTCTCCCAACTTGCTACAGGTTTTCAATCTTTATCCATAATTCTTTTTTTAAATATTTATTTATTATTGAGAGCCAGAGGTAGAGCATGAGCATGGGAGGGGCAGAAGGTGGTGGTGGGGGAGACACAGAATCTGAAGCAGGACCCAAGTTCTGAGCTGTCAGCCCAACGTGGGGCTCGAACTCAAAAACTGCGAGATCATGACCTGAGCTGAAGTCGACACTTAACCCACTGAGCCACCCAGGCGCCCCTATCCATAATTCTTAAGGGCCAGTAATCAGCTCTTAGAATTATTTTTTTTATTTTATTATTTTTTCAGATTTAGAAAGGCAATGTGTCTCATCTACCCCACCCAATGTAATACATCTAGGGATGCTTTAAAATATTATTTCTGTAGTTACATGTGTCAATATCTATACTAAGTGCAAAAAATAAAATTCAGTGTTGGGATTGCCACCAAAAAATTTCAGGTCAGATCAGATATCAGTACCAACAGAAATACTTTTTTCCCCCTACAATTTTCTGAATTTTAGAGTTACAGCTAAGGGATTGTGAATCTTTATTCAAACTATGATTATCTTTCACCTCGACAAATGCAACAACAGCTTCTTAACTGCTCTTCCTATCTTCCAATTCTTCAGCATTCCCCCTATTACCCTTCAAAACTGTGCTGTCCAATGAGAGTTGCCACTGCCACATATGGGAATGTAAGCTTAAATAGATTTAAACAAAATACAAACAAAAGTTCAGTTCCTCCATCTTACTAGCCATATTTCAATAGCAATAAAATACTCAATAACATCTGTGGCTACTGCCTACAGTATCAGACATTGCAAATATAGAACACTTCCATTATCACCAATGACTGGATAGTGCTGTTTGATTAGCTAATGGATTAATGACCTTGCTTGAATCCTAATGCTTATAAGATATATTTCAACTTCTTTAAAATGACATCATAGACGGGCAGAATCCGGGTAATCTTACTAACATACTATACTACCTTTTTATGACCTTTCTCAGTCTCACTGTGGCTAAAATTGTTCATCTATATTAAGAGGAAAGAAGGTAGGACATATGGGTGTATGTGCAGGTCTGTAGGTAGATGTGTAGGTGGAAGTTTACGAAAATTTTGTTTTTCATCCTACATTCCTATTTTCTTGGTGGAATAGGTGGAAATGATGATTCAGTAAGATGTTTGAAGTGAAAGAAGAAAATATTGCATAGTTGTTGGAGGGAGTGGGAAAGGACACAGAACAGAGAAACACAGAATGATGTTTAGCAGCTTATGGACCGCTAGAAATCAGGGATGATGAACGTAAAGTGGGAATAGTCTGCTGGTTGTCTTTTGTTTATTTTGTTTCCTTTGGCCACACTCAAATGTGTGGAAGTAAACACCATCTTTTATCAAAAAGAGAGAATTCACCACCATTGACTTCTGACAAACAAGTCTAACTTAGGTACAGAAGGTCAATGAACAGAGGATGAATTAAAATAATGGATTATAATAATATGCTATGGAATTCATACAGGTTAAAAAGAGAACACAGAATCTGCAGTTGTAAATAATAGTAAACATTTGGTAGAATCAATGAATCTAATTCCCAGTGTAGTGAATAGATAGTGGAGCTCCCTATTAGAGGTTGTGAACTGGAATGATAAGAGGCAGTGGTCAGAGAACAGAGATTAGGGTGGGTTCACATTAACAGGTAGCAACATGATATGTAGGGCATACTTCCAGATGTGGATGCCGAGATAGGACAGTGAACAAGAACATTTATAATAGGGAAATTATAGGTGCACAAGTTTAGGGCATTGAGCTAATCACTTTCATGACTCTCAATATCATTGAATAATATGACCAAGTACTTTTGGAAAGAATGAGAGTGAACAAGGAGAGAACGTTTTTCAGCTCAATTTTTTTTTTTTTATCAGCTACTAGTATTTCCTTTTTGGGATATTTCAAGTCACAAACTTCCAGTGTTTATCAAATAATTTTCTAATTAAAAACATAAGACAAAGTTACATAAAACTTAAGTACTATTGAAATGTATACAGTAGAATTACACCTGTAACAGAAATGCTATTTTTCCTTATTTTCCATTTTCCACTCTGTATGCAGAAAATGACTTATCTATGGAAACATGTCTAGAAACTAGTTTGGAAAGGACAAGAACACTAATGAGTATTTGTAGCACTTTGATGATTTTAGTCAGATACAGAGAGATGACCTCAGGTAAGAACTGATCACTTTGCAAGCAGAGAGAAAAAGGAATAAAGCTCTCTTAAGTATGGCACTGTTTACTTAAAGCCAAAAAGCTAAATCAAGAGTCCAGATATCTGCACGGTTGCAGAACCAAAAAGTGAACTGTACCCTAAATAGCAGGAGATGATCTTCTTTCAGAGTCTTTATCAGAAGCCTTCCATTAACACTTCTCCCAAACCAATAGAGCCAGACATGTGGCAAGAATCAGATTAAAGTGATGCCTTCTCACTCAAACTTATTGTTTCGGGTGATGTCAAAGTAGCTGCCACAATCAAAAGGGTGACATGAACCGGCCAGTAAATAAGGCAGGTTTAAGAAAGTTCTTGGAGTGGTCCCTGGGTGG